GAAACGGACACAAAGTATACCCAGACTCAGAACAACAATTTGTGGATCAAAGTGTTGTCCCATATGTTGTGTACTTTTTTTATGAGTATGTGTTGTGTTTTTATGTGTGACGGATTAAGAATACGGAGTGTCACCACCACTATTCATCCCGTGAGTGTCGTAAGAAGCGATTTAGGGAGCAAATTAGGCAGGACAATAGTACTGCGAAGAGAAGGATCACTTGAAACAAACCCAATACCAACCCGTCTGGCCAGCGTGGTATAGTAGGCAACCACCTCCTTTTTAGTGAGAAGTCCATGTCCAGCAGTGGACTGTTATAGGCTGTTGATGATTGTGTTTTTGAATTTTCCTCGTATTTATATCTATTACCTAACTTACTGTACTGACGTCAGCGTTACCACAAATCAGAAGAGAACAGAAGAGATGGTTTTGTTTTAAATTAGAAGACCACAATGCTGGTGATACGTTGAAAGTTATCAACAGAAAATAATATTCTACACTATCTCATTAGCCTTGGTCTCTAGTACACTCGTACTCTTCGAGTGCATGTGCACTTAAAAGGGCTATACACAACATACGGGCATGTCAGCTGTGTTTACTAACATAGATGTAATATAGAGCATAGCCGACGTAATAATGCATTCCCAACTGTGAATAGAGAGATGCGTTGACTGATACTTTGATGCACGTGTTAATTCATTTAAACGAGTAATTTGTTGCATACACTTTACAAAAATTGCACGTCTGAGAGCCACACCTTGGTATATTTGGGTCAGCTCGACCGTGGTAATACAAGGGCATGACAGAAAATAGGCATTAAGCACTTTTAACCGACTTCAAAAAGGAGGTTTTTTTATGTTTGTGTTTTTTTATGTTTGTATTTTTTTATGTATGTTCGGGCATAACTAAGTATTATACTCGTTTAGGCGGATTTTCAAAATTATTTTTGTTCGAAAAAGGTTTATTCCGATATTGTCCCATTTAAATTTTATATAGATCTAATGATGAGTTTTGGAAACAGACAATGGAACTGTGGCGATCCCCACATTCAAAGTAACAGAAACATAATAACGCGCCATCTAATGAAGACACTTTAAACTACAGGGTACCTGAATGAGAATTGCTAATCCTGTGTCGCGATACGAAGAATTCTCTCGCTGGTTAGCATATATACAACTTCCCAACGTTGGGCCGAGACCCGCATCCTCCCTTTGTGTTGGAGGGAAATGACAATCGTTCCTCCACAGAACTCTTCAAAAACTGACAGCAAATCAACCGCGATTGCTGCAAGTTAGTGCTCTTTGTTAGTATTGTTTGAAATCGGTTCAATTTAAAAAAAAAAATTATTTCGTTGCCTTTCATCGGGTAAGTGAGGTAACCAGAGCCCAGCTTCATTCCTCCTTGGAGTGGAAGCGAGGGCATACAAAGGGCGGGAAAGTACTTGTGACTTTCATGTTGAAGTTGTCCAAGGGAGGTGGTCCATTTACCTCTTATTTCGTGAAAACAAAATCTACTAGAGCTTATTTATTTACTTCAGTAGAAAAACCAACAGTTACAAAAATGATAATGGTCAGATTGATATACTCCATCAAGCTAATTACTGGTTTTCACGAATTGAATCATTGTAATTTTGTCATTTGAATCATTGGAGCTTCTGGAACGCTAACTAATACGACACTACACCTATACAATTAATAATGATGGACCTAAAAGAATTACCGTTGGCAAAATTTAAGGTTTTGCATACTGCGCACAACATTGCTTTTGGTATTAAAGGAATCAAAAGAATACTCCTTGCACAATTTATTGAAATCGCTGCGCGATCGAACAATGTATGAGTATTTTCTATAGTTGGAGGAAGAAAATAGAGATAGAAATGTAGGGATAGCCGTCACTAAAAGGGGGAATTAATTATTTATAATTTTAATTATTTATAAATTAAATTTAATTTAAAAAAAAATCGTAAAGGTGACTAAACGACAATTCTTGCAGTAAATGGTGACCTTTCATTGTGGGTCGAAAACTGCTACTTACATAAGGCAGTAAGGGTCACGGGTGATGAAATTTAAGAATATTCCGGACGCCGTACGCTAATATTTACTTAAATATGACAGATGCATGAATCAAATCATTATCATATGCTGCGTGGTGGACAAAAAATTGACATAAAAAAAAACAAAAGGTGTTCTCCGCTTTCACGTTATTCATGTATTGCACCGTCGTCTGCATTGGGTTCTTGAAGTATTTTGCATCAGTTTTATTAAGCCTATATGCCGATTAATGTTGCCTTAACGAACAAGTTTGATAAATCAATAGGAGCTTTTTTTCTGTGTCGCGGGGCACTTTAGAAACATACATGAAACGGACACAAAGGACTCAGAACAACAATTTGTGCATCACACAAAGTGTTATCCCATGTGGGGATCGAACCCACAACACTGAGCGCAGTAGGAAACAGCGAGGTGACAGCTTAAACCATTTCGCCATCCGTGCAGTCAAGTTGAAGTTAGACAAGGAAGGTGAGAGGGGGAGGTACACATTCACAAAAATATTAGTTTACGAAAATCATTACGGACGACCGGATGGCGTAGTGGTTAGTGTAACGGACTGCTATTCCGAAGGTCGCGGGTACGATTTCCACTCAAGTCAAACATTTGTGTGCATGAACGTTTAATGTTTGATTTGGTCTGGGTGTTTCTATGTATAATAAGTAGGATGTATTTACAAAAAAAAATTATATATGTATTTATATCAGTTGTCTAGTATCCATAGTACAAGCTCTGCTTAGTTTGGGACTAGATGGCGTTGTGTGAATGTGGTAGAATATTATTTATTATTATACTTTCCATAGTAACACTTACTCAGACATCCAGGTGGAGGCGCTGTTTGCTGAAATACAGGTTCCTAGACTAGTTCAGCAACAGATGCTAATACCGAACATAAATTGTCGTCCGGCTCAGAAACATTCAGTAACCATAAACTGTGTTAATGTGTATATGTTTTACGATGAAATAAAGATCCATTCAATCATTCGTCCTGAAAAAATATTTGGTTGACAATCGAACATTATGATTGTTCTAAAATGACAAGATGCCGCTGCAACTGTAAGTGTTATCGCTAACGTAGTTCTCACATTTCTACAAATTTCATGATTTTATGATTTTGAGCCACAGAACCCTAAGAAACGGATAATTTAAAGTCCGACTAATGCAGGGTTCCTTAATTTTAAATTTTTAAGACCATCTCTTCATTATTGAAGTAAAATGTCAAATATTAGCATTAACCAGGCTCTGTCTAGTTTGGAAGATGTGCGAAATCGCTATTTTTATTAAGGTTATTAACAAAATAAGTTTTCTAGTTGTCTCAAAGATAACGGAATGGTGAAACTATTGTTAATATGTCAGATCCAACATAATTCCATAGAGCCAGATTGAAGATATTTTTAAAAAATATATTTTTATTTAACATTATTTTCTGGACGAAGAATAAGAGATGTGAGTAGAGTTCTTTGTGTAGATCTTTAAGCAGTTTGAATTACTTAAACCATCTTTGTTTTCTTACTGCACATCACGATTTTCCTGGCAGAAGCTGATGGGTAGCATGATTGTGACTACCGTCGCCAACTGATACTTGCAGCTCAAGAGCCACAAGTGCTTACCACCCTTGACCTCCCCAAAATTTTGGGGTAACCTCACTCTACCTCAGGCCATGGTATCACTCCGGTAGTGCCAGCCCATTTATGCCGAAGGATGACTTTCTCTTAAAGATTTTTTTGGGATATTATGTTAATTCTACTAAGAGAGTATTCTAACAACGTCCATAATACTCATTTTTCTATTCTATATTTAGTAATCTGTCAAACGTGACTAACGTGTGACAGATTACGATAGAATACAAAAAAAAAACTAAGAGAAGGTTAACATTATCTCGTAAAAGTCTCATGTTTTGATAATTGTTGTTTACACATACGATAATACGTTTTCATTCAATCGTTTAAAAATAAAACTAATCTTATGCGATCGCCAACATATATACAAGTTTTTATTAAAGTTTTATTTTTATTACTTAACACTCCGTTTTACAAACACTAACATGTTAAAACAGTAATGAAAAACAGCCAAATATAAAAACACTATTATTTACAACACTGAAAATGTAACATTGTAACTCGCAAACATAATGTCAAAAAGATGACAATGATAATACTGTTTACGCATAAAACTAGGGATTTAAAAAAATCTCATTAAGTAAAATGTTATTAATGGTTAGGTACACAATTACAGTTCATTCTATTGAATCTCCAAGAAGAAGACAACTAACTAAAGATTGGCTGTGAAAAGAGGATGTTTGGCCTAAGACCTAATACGATTTATTCTATGACAACTCTATGGTAATTTTTAAACTTTTAGAAAACTGAACTCATTCTACTGTAGTTCCATTTAATTAAAATGAAAATTTTTTTTTGCTAAATTATATATTTTAAGCTGCTAGTCAATCAGAACAGCACTAAAAGATTCAAAAATACATATCTTTTACAATACAGTAGCGGGTGTATTACACGGTTGGTACATTTAAATATTCTTCCCGTATTTCACATACTATTGAAAATACGCGTTGTTTTCACAAAGAATTACGCGACAAAAATAAATGACATATAATGTGAACTAATAAATTACAACACAATATCAATATTTGACAATAGACAATATCAATATTTTTCATGTTAAGTTTATGCAGGCAAAGGAATTAAGATACGGCTTATTTTATACTACAATATTATCGCTATTTCTTTTCATAATATAATGTACAATTTGTAAATTTACATTTGGCCAGAGTGGTAGAAGAAAAAAAACTTGTCTTTGCCAAAGCATGATGCTCAGTTATAGAATGGTATAGAGCAGTAAAACCTTGTCATTATGGGCAAGAACATAAAGTTTGTAGAAGTTCAAGCCCAAGGCTGTTTGCCTAACAATATCTACGTCACTAAATATATTATGACGTCATCTGCTCTCCGGTGTACTACATAATAACAGGTGGTCGTATTTCTTCATCTGTCTCGAAGCTAGTTCCACGTCCACGTCAGTGAGGTAGAAAGCCTCAAAGTTTGTTAGCGGCCGCAGCATTGTGTACAGCCTTTCGGCGTATTTCCTGTATATAAAAAAAAAGGAAAATGTCTGCAACTTTATCTCATACCTTATAAAAGCTGGGTTAAAGGTACGGAATAACAAGATATTTAATTTTTTTTCTATCCTAGGTACCTGAAATAATGTCTGGGCAAGGTCTAGGCAGTACAATTAATAAGTTATGGCCACGAAATTGTAACATGGTAGCCCGTAAATCTTATACCGTGTTACTCACTAAAGGGTTTAATCACTATTTGTTAGTGCTCAAAAACGATCAGACAAACCGCTATATTGAGGGTTTGGAATAGTGATCAGACTTAGACAGTCATCAATCCATGATGCATCGTCAAGATGTTGTCAATTTTGTCCGTGACGACAATGCTTAAACTAAATTTAGTGAAATTCTTTTTCTGATTTGTTCCTCGTCTTTATATGCTTCTTATTGAAATAAAAGTAGAATATCACCTGGTATCTGTGTTTTTATCATCCAAAAGTGCGGCAAGAGAGCGCAGTGCGTGTTTTCGTGCGTAGGCGGCAGTGGGTGGGCGCGTGCGCAGCAGGTCGCGACCTCCTCCGCCGAGCGCACAACATACTACCAATAGCCTGGCCGATGCACAGCGTACTAGAGGACTCTTGTGACTGAGAAACCATAATTGGGTATAAACGATTATTTTGCGCAACAAATGAAACTAAAGCTAGGAATTTCTGCAGCTTTTTACCTAATTTGTGAGTTTTTTGTCCTTGGTCTTAGTATGATAAATTGATGTGAAACTTTAATTAGTAATAGAAGATAGCTACTTTGACGGAAGTGTCGAAAGACGGAAAGACGTGAAAGTGTTCAATGATAAAGTGGAATTGGTGAGGCGGAGGCTCAGTATACAATTCTTCAATAAATACAAGAATAATGCCTGCAATTGTTATTACCTAGCCTTCGAAGTTATTGGTGACTTTTTCAAACGTTCACATATAGTCTTATGGCCCGATGTTTATTCGCTAAAACGTATCGTTGGCAAACTGTTTCTATACTTTTTATAAATATAGGTAAATATTATTGTCAATTTCCATCATTCACAAAGACACCAGCGCCTATGGAGACTGCAGAAAGTTTTGTGCTTATCTTTTGTGGGGCAGGAGAATTCAGTTGCTAACTATCAGCATTTTCATCTCTATATATATAAAAATGAATTGCTGTTCGTTAGTCTCGCTAAAACTCGAGAACGGCTGGACCGATTTGGCTAATTTTGGTCTTGAATTATTTGTGGAAGTCCAGAGAAGGTTTAAAAGGTGAATAAATATGAAAATGCTCGATTTTTTTTTAATTCCCAGCATTTTTTTAATTGTTTTCATAAAATAAACAAACACCTTTTGTTTGTTTATTTTATACAAAAGTTTAGGTCTTTTATTTATCAATTGAGGCAGTACGAAGTCTGCCGGGTCAGCTAGTTATATATAAATATATAACAATTTCATTTATTGCCTCTATCTGACAGAAGAGATATTGCAGATATCTCCTACATTTTAAAAATCGAATGTAATGTAATTGACTGTCCAGAGCTTTTAAATAAACTAAATCTTAATGCACAATCGAAACTTCTAAGACACATACAACCCTTACACATCCCTCTATGTTCTACCAATTATAGACAAAATTCCTTTATTCCGCGAGCAAGCAATGCCTTTAATGCTGCTGCAAGAAAATATGACTTCGACTTATTTGCTACAAGCGCCACGCTAGCGAGACACAAAATAAGCAATGATTTCTTCTCTTAGATTTATGCCTTAATTTTGTTTTTTTTTTTGTTATTTTGGTTTCTTTGGATTTAATTTAATACCTACACTTGATCTGCTGTCACAAACAGCGATTAACGTGTTTCTAGTATTATAACTGTGTACCTATATAAACGTTGATTACTTATATTGTAAAGCGTGCTTTAAGCCGCTCAAAATATAAATTAAATATGTATTGAACGTGGGAATCAGTAATTGGCTTGCTGTTGCAAACCTCTGCGCTAAGCAAATTTGTCAAAGCTGTTGGTCCTCCAAGTTATAAATAAATAATCTCTGATGTGATGAATCTTAACAGGGCTTATGATTGCCTTAAACCAATGATTGTAGACCTGTCCCACCTTAACTATAAAAGCTATTATAACTCACGTAACACCATGTATACAGAGAGCTGTGACCACATGACTGAGATCCACTCCACATACAATATCATCCAATGCTACGTTCGCTGCGCGTCGGACGGGACGACTGAAGCTGCCTGTCTTGATTAAGAGTATCGTTACGGCTTCGTAAAATTCCTGCAGGGAAAAAATGGTTCTTCAACATTTTATTTATGGAATAATGGAAGTTTTATTTGTTGAACTCCGAGAGTAAAATTAAGTCTGTAATATAAATGAACAAGGAATTTCAAAAGCATTTCATGGACGTATGAGCACCCAACTCAGTAGAACCGAGAGGCAGATACGTCATGTACAAAATGCATTTTCCTGGTTTTGTTTTCATTTACTATATCACATTTTTTTCTCTGTTCTTGTTACTCACTTCTTTTTTTCTTTCTTCAATGGTGGAAACATGGCAAAGAACATGCAGGAATCTTTATTTTGCTATGTTTTCTTTAGTGCCATTCTAACAACATTGTTTTTGTTAAATATCAACCAACCAAAAAAGCTAAATATCAAACATGATACCCGCAATTTCTCGTATATGTAGATCACCCTAAGTGAGTTCTATACTAGACATAATTGTGAAAAAGCCATGTTCGACCGGAGTGAAATAAAAAGTGTTAATAAAAATAATTAGGAACATCACAAAATCGATATTAAATTTCCAACCGTTTTTTTTGCTTTGATGAATAAATTTATTTACTGCTTTAAATAAAATACTTTTTAACTTATACTTACAGGTTTCTTAGTATAATTAGTATTCTTCAGAATGGCAGCAAGTGTATTACAAGCAGTGCGGGAAACTTGAGTTCTCGGAGACTCTACGTGGCTGATAATCTTTAGAATGAAAAATCGATTACAAAACTGTTTTGGGAGGAAAGTAAAGGAAGGTCGCGGTACACAAGGAAGAACAACATCTCATAATGGTTTGAGGCTAAAGAATCCTGTTAAGATAAAAAAAAACAATCAAACGGCAGTTACAGCCAAGGATTAATATTGACGAATTGAGATCCAGAATGTTTACTCGTGTGAGAGAGGGAAAGAAAATAAAACCCACTACATGGCCACCTATTATTAGAGGGAGATGTATACACATCGTTGGTCACGTTACGATTAGGTGCGTACTAAACATCCGCAAGGAGCCAACGCCTGAGTGCCACCACTGCGATGGCCAGACCGTGGACACGGCTCTCCACACGCTGGCAGAGTGCCCGGCGTGGGTTGAGCAGAGGCGAGACCTCGTGGCGGCCATCCGAGTGGGAGTTCTCTCGCTCGATAGCCTGATTGCGGCTATCGTGCGGAGCGAGAGTGCGTGGAACTCTGCCGTCTCCTTCTGCGAGCAAGTTATGCTCGCAAAGGAGACGGCGGAGCGGGACCGGGAGAGGTTTAGGACTCTCCCGGCCCGCCAGGCCCGGGAACGGGCCAGGTACCGCAGGCGACTCAGGCGCCGGAGGTCGCAGAACGACCTCCGTCCTCCATAAGCGCAGGCCTGGGGGTGACAGGTGAGGCCATCTGTCACCCTAGCAGGAGCAGGCCGGGGTGGCGGCAAGCGCGTTGCGAAGCGCGCTCGCTTCCAGGGAGCACCGAGAACATGGGGTTCCCACACGGGGGGGGTCGTCTACTCGTCTGTAGATGACCCGAGGTATGTCGAGGTACCAGGGACTTCCTTTCTAGGGTATACCTGGTTCCCCGGCTATTAGTACCCGAGACGGCGTGCGGTTTTAGTCGGTTCGAGTCCGACATGCCACCGACAGGTGGTATCCGAGGGGATTTCCGCACGGAAAAAAAAAAAAAAAAAAGGTGCGTACTAAACAAAATGTTGCTAATTACCACTTTTAATTATATTCCACAAATGTTTGTTCCGCGTGGGACTTGGATCCACAATATAATAATAATAACTTTACACATCCCACACACGGCCATCCGATTCCAAACTAGGCAGAGCCTATACTATGGTAACCAGACTGCTGATAAACATACTGATATATTTCTAAATACATACATATTATAGATAAATTACACTTAGACAAAAAACGAATGATCGTGCTCATCGCACAATTATTTGTCCTGGGTGGAAATCGAACCCACGACCTCTGGCGTAGCAGTCAGGGTCACTAACCACTAGACTAACAGGGCCGTCAGTCACAACACTCGACGTGGCTTACTTAGTTACTTGCATTTTTACTTTGAGCGGAAAACATCTAACACACTAGGAAATATCTCTCTATCTTCTCTAAGTTACAATACGTGTAATAAGTTATAATATTGTACATTACTTGTCTCAGTAAATCCGCAATTCGATTTTCCGCAATCACGCCCCAAAACTTTGCCAACACCTTCGGAATGTCATCCAAAGTATCCATCACTTCGAACCTAGAATTTTAATATTTGTATTAATGTTTTGCGTTTGGCAGTACAGTAGGGGTTTATTGCTAAGTGGTAACCGAGTAGGTTAACACATGGCAAAGTTAAGCAATCATAGCCAGGTCAGTTTATGGATGGGTGACCATTCGTAACACATTGAGATCCCTCCGTGCCTCCGAGAGCGCATTAAGCTGTACCGGTTGCCATACGAACATCTGTGGCAATCATTACGGGTATTTGAAGCTCGCAAAAGACCGACAAAAGTATGTATTTCTACAGAACTTTGATATCGCCTAATTGGGTTGTGGACAGAGGCGGCCTTTGGGGGTGGGCAACCGCCCAGGGCCTCGCTCATGAAGGAGCCTTTCGCACTCACGACTAAGTAGAGAAAGTGCTTTACGCCTTGCAGTCTAAAACTGTCTTCGGTTTGTGCTTTTATGTTCGAGCAGCAGTATGTGTTGCACTGCATTTTTTTTTCAAGTATCAGCATTAAAACTAATTCCACAAAGACAAGGGCCTCGCAATGTCCTACCCACCCCGGGCCTCGCAATGGCTAAAGCCGCCACTGGTTGTGGAAGTCTGATGGCAGTCGCTCCGTAAATAATCGAGGTTCAGCCGTATCGTAGTACACTTAAAGCCAACCTAGTTTGTGAAAAAAGGTCGGAGGAAGTATTGGCGAAGCATCATTCTGAGGACGGTAAGGGCGGCAACTGAGTTGCAGGCGTCCATGGGGGCGGTAATCACTTATAATTAGGTAACCCGTCGACTCGTTTGCCGCCAATACGGTATAAGCGGCAAATGAAAAGTAGACAGTCGGTAAAGGGAAAAGTCGTAGAAACTCTGTGAAAAGAACAAAGAAGAAACAAAGGGCTACCGCCAGTTTACGCTTCTTTTACTTTCTGTATGACTACATTAGAGTAGCAGTATCGATGCATACAATTTAACATATGGACCCAGAGTTTTTTTGGGCTACAATGATTACATAGAACGTCATCGGTGTTACTCGTATGTGACGTTTTGCCACTGTTGACTCCAAATTACATATATGTATTTAATTTTGTTTATTAAATTATTTACAGGAAAAGCAACTACCTACATATATTTTTTAATAACATTTAAGAATTATGGTAATAGGTACATTATTATCGGAAGTGTTTTAATTTGAATTTTAGGCGTAAATAACTAATTTTATTCAATCGATGGGGCATTTAAATTAATAAAAAAATAAATATATAACCAGTATTTGGTAGAATAGAAATTTGTGGGGATAAGATTTAACCTAAAAAGAGTCTTGTCATGAAATATCTGACTTTTGATATATTAACCTTTACAAAAACTATGCGAACTATAATATTTTTGATTAAAACGCACGAGAAGAGAACATGTTTCAAATGTGCTTAATTTTTCAATGTGTTGCGCATATATTGAACATATAAGAACTGAAAAGTTTTAGATATTGTCTAGCCTGTTGTCTGAATTATATTAAGAATTAAGAAGAATTTCCTAATTTTAAACAGACTACACTATATACGTTAATAAGCCAATAGCTTAGTAGTCAATTATCGCCAAGAGTTCAACCAGAAAACAGAGAACACAAACGAGCAGACAGGTCATATGGTAAGCAACTACCGCCGCCCATGGACACCTACAACTCAAAAGTCACAAGTGCGTTGCTACCCTTGGAGTCCCTCCCGCTCGAGTCAGCGGGAGGGGGGATTTGGGCTCCGGTATCCTCACTCACTCAGTGAAAGGCAACGAAAGAATTGCTTAACACCGGTTTTCTGTGGGGCCGTGGTATCACTCCGGTCGAGCCGGCCCATTCGTGCCGAAGCATGGCTCTCCCAAGGTAAATGTACCCAGAGTTTGCCTACTTAACATCAAACGCACTAGTAGCGATTTACACAAAGAAATCAATAAGGATAATTGTGAGAAATGACTGCGAAATCATTTAGTCGTGATCATTACGGCGGGTAAAAACTAAAGATGGCGAATATGTAATCAAATAAGGGCAGAAGTTGTTTTAAATGATTACTCTGATATCAACTGGTAATAAAACAAGTGATAGTGACTATGATTTTGACCTTATTTAGAGGATAGATTTCGAAATTGAAATGAAATATCAGAATAGACCATAAATAATTACCTATTATTGATATACAATGTTTCCTATACTATTATTTTAAGTAAGGTTTGAAAAGTAACTAATTTAAAATAGCATGTAAAAACAAAAAAAAAACACATTTTTTTTTTCTTGAAGGTATTGTGTACAGATCAGGATGTCGATATATATTACTCGGAATATAATTACGGTTATGGTATTACTTGTAATATAATTATGTATTCACAACTAGTCACATTTGTGACACTTCCCGCTCACCCTAGTGTGATGTCACATATTTTGTAATTTTACATCAAGAAATTATTTCATTGTAACAAAAGCTCCGAAATTATTTTTGTTTCCATTTCAATTATTTTTCAATAAAACGAAAAGAAAAAAATAAGCAAACAAAAAACGACGAATTACATAATTGTTAATAATCGTGACGTCACTAAATTCAGGATCCTTTGCACCAATTGTCAACCTTCTTCGACCAACCTCCCCCCGAATAGTTATAGTTGAAATTAAGCTAATATTATTTAATTTCAACCATAGGAGTTTCTAAAGTCAAAAAACATTTAAATAATGGCAACATCTAACCAAGAGGGCGATCGTAGTCTTCTAAGCAACTCAATGCACAATAGTTCACAGCCTCGTTCTGAATGCTCAGATAATTTACTGTCGTCGCACACAGAGCTGGGTGAGCCGCTTCTGCTCTCCGAATTACTGACAATTAAAAAAAACCTTTTAAAACGAGTTACACAGAATTACTAGTCTAAAAATATTCTACAAACAAGGTAGATTTGATTTTATGTTAAAAAAAGCTCAGCGTCAGTCAATTGTTAAAGAAATGCAAGTTATCAATAACTCGTAACACATGTTCAACGGTCCAGACTTTCAGAGCGACGTCATTAAATATTAAAATGGCAGTGGACTGTATTTCTCATCGTCAAAGGCCTTTAGTAGTCTACTGGGTGGACATAGGCCTCTCATTAGAAAGGAGGTTTTGGCCTACTTTGGCCTACACGCTGGCCAGAGGGGTGGATGGTATAAGGTTTGTGTCAAGTTTTCCTTCTCTTTGCAGTGCTGTTGTCCTGCATGGTTTACTCCCTTAAGGGTGGTGACACTCCGTATTCTCGCGGATAAAGTGAACAGTATTGCTAGTGGTTTATTCGCCAGACTATGTATGTTGGGGCTGTTATTATATTTTTCCCAACATTTAATGTTGAAGTTTGTTTATAGTTGAAGTTAGGTAAAACATACCAATGTTGCAGTTATGAGCGTTTATTGAACACTAAAATTCACTGTATAAATTAAAACCTTATAAACCACAATTTCGCTGACTTAGCTAAGTACGAGTTCGTACAATGTACATCAAATTTAAGATAAAAAAATGATGTGATGTTACAAAGCGAGTGCGTGTTTTTAAAAAGTTTAAATCTAAAATCGTCGGTTCCTTATACTACATTCGCGATCGTTTTTTAGAAATTCAATGGTTTCAGTTCCGATCAATACTTTGCTACGAAAATAAGATAGTAGATCGAACTTTTACGAGAATATTGGCCTTCAGAAGTCCGTTGCAACCCCTTTCAGTGATCCCTAATTTCCTTGAATTATTGTTTGGGCCTTAAATAACCTTACTAATCTGGTGGAATGCAACGAAAGTATAGCTTAACGGCGGCTTTCTGTGCAGTTTTGGTCTCAATTCGGTCGAGCCGGCCCTCCTTTACCGAATAAACCACCAGCAATACAGTGCACTGCCATTTTATTTATGCTCCTCCCTCTGGCCCTTGAACATGTGTCCTGGATTATGCCATTGCATTTATTAAAAAATGCAATCAATATGTCGTAGACCTCTCAGCACTTACTATTATTATCATTGCATCCCTAAAAATGATCAGTAATGTAGCATAAGGAACCATTATGGATTTAAAAATTATTAAAACACGCACACGCTTTGGGACATCTCATTATTTTTTTAGCTGAATTTGATGTAGGTACGTAGGCTAGCGAATAAACTCCCCTCTGGACCCTTAAACATTTGTCACTGCTGGAGATAAGCCTCTCCTGAGAAAGGAGGTTTTGGCCTACTATACTACGCTGGCCAGACGGGTTGGTATAAACCAACCCGTTTGTCCCGCTTTCCAGAGAAGGAAAACTTGATAAACCATAGGGTTTGTGTCAAATTTACGACCGGATGGCGTAGTGGTTTGTGTAACGGACTGCTATTCCAAAGGTCGCGGGTTCGATTCCCGCTCAAGTCAAACATTTGTGTGCATGAACATTTGATGTTTGATTTGGTCTGGGTGTTTCTATGTATATATTGTATGTATTTACAAAAAAAAAAAGTATATATGTATTTATATCAGTTGTCTAGTACCCATAGTACAAGCTCTGCTTAGTTTGGGACTAGATGGCGTTGTGTGTATGTGGTAGAATATTATTATTATTGTTTTTATTTTTTAATTTCATTGTTTAGTAATTGTTGCACTTACTGAACGCTATACCGTGACTGCGTGAAGTTCTTGCTTTTATTGCTCATTTTGAGTTCCTTAATCTTATCTGTAATATTAATAGGATTCTGTAAATCGGTCAGGGACTCCAGCCTGGGCCCGTCTGTGTTTTTGTATTCGGGTTTATCAACATTAGAAGAATTGGCTATGTAACCAACTTCAAAGTGTATGGGAGGCAGTTGGATAGTACCTTGGCTTCCCCTGTCAAAATCTGTAAGAAAATTGATAAGATCTGATCGTAAAATATATTAAATAAAAGCATTTTTTTTACTTATTATCAATAAACGTACTAATTCTTTCATTGATGTGATGACTTTCTCCCGACGCTAGCTCTCGAGACTCAATCTCCCATCTGTCAATACCTTTTTCATCTCTCCGTTCTTCAAACACACAAGGCAATGTTCCCGATCTCAATTGCAGCTTGTTAGGATTAATTGAAAATAGAAAATTCGTATTAGCACATTTAGGACTAGTAGGACAGGAATAGGTGCCCTGAATAGGTGGCAATTTAAGAGACTCGGCATCACGACTAGCTTCTTTTGGCAACAATTTAATTTTAATTCCGGATTTATTTGTGAATAATACATCTTTATCTTCATCATTTAAACTACTGTGGTTTTCAGATGCTGCATCCTGTGACCAATCTTTTTTAAACGCTGATTCTTCAGTCAAAGGCGTTAAAAGATCAAAACGTTTCTTGTCCTGATCGAATGACTTGTGAGATTGAAAATCCATTCTTTCGTACAGTTTGTTGTAAAGTTCAGCAACATCTGTGTCCATAGATTTTGGCGTTTCACACTCTTCGTTAGGATTATTATTTTTGCTATGATCAGGTTTGTCACTCTCCATTAGTGAATCATCATCAAAATCTGTGTGGTCATAATCACTATCATAATCATTTTGTTCATCACAGTATATATTCTCTTCGTTTTCTTCATTTATAACATTTTGTAGTTTTTCTGAGCATGGTACACTCGTGTCATCATTACTTTTATCAAGTTCACTTTCTGAATTCTGTAATTTAGTGGAATTATCTTCAAGGCAGTTGCCGATGAATTGACTGGAAGCATTATTTTGGAAATGATCTACAAACTCACTTACTACTTTAGCCTTAGAATTATTTTTTTCAGTTACTTCTATTTGGTATTCAAGAGTCTTGTTAGATTTTATTGAAATAAACGATGTTTGGGTATGTAAAGTGTTTTGGTCCATATGCTTTATTAAGGTTTCTTCTGTCTGAGCTAATTCTATGATAGTTTTACTTGTTTGAGTGAATATTTCTTGTGAGAAAATGGAGCATCTATTAAAGCTGGTGGAGCACTCTGCGCAATATCGCTTTGCTACATCACATTGTACATCTCTGTTAACATTCATAGATCTTGATGGATTCTCTTTCATAATAGCGACATTTTTGTAGCGTGGCGATTCGCTTCCTTCGCTATCCCATTCTAGAATGTAAGTCTCCATTCCCGAGGAATCAAGTTTATCGGAGCTGCTATCAATGAAGTCCAATGAATACAAGTTTGTAGTGGCCACACTTTTCTGAGAGTCTGTTTGTTTTACATTCTCGATTACTTCTTCTATTTCTTCATCCTAAAACGTTATCTGATTTAATAATTACATTAATTGACACTTTCTACAGTATTTATTATTATTATGACTTATACTAGTGATATAGTAGTATTCTATGTCATGTAAACTGCCAGCTATCACGAGTATGAACTACGGCAAAGCGTGAAGTTTCATGATGTAGCTTCCCTGGTTATTATCACTATTCTTACCATAATTTAAAAATTTTGAACAAAAATAACATATATTCAAACTTGTTCCACTAATGTAACCACATTAAAGCGTATTCTTATGTATTTACAAATATTTCAGTGCAATTCTGACAGGTTGTGACAACTTTGAACAGAGAAACTGTCATTAAACAATGGTTTTTATTTTTTCTTGATATTATTTATGTATAGGTTCAAAATCGGTAATGATGATGCTACGTATTTCTAATACATACAAGATTCTTCTAATTTTCTGTCTTGCCTTACCGACGTCACCTATTTAGCTAGAATTTGTGAGGTTTGTTCAATCAGCATGTTAGCTTTACGCAAACCTTGTAGTCTTGCTTCAAATCAGTGTGGCTCATCAATCATATCGATTTGGTGTTTGTAAAGAGAGTGCATATGCAAAGTATATGGATAGTCTGTAATAAATCTGCCGTTTATAAAATAAAATACATACTATCCATACTAATATTATAAATAAGAAAGTGTGTCTGTCTGTCTATCTGTAATCCCTTCACGCTTAAACCGCTGAACCAATTTAAACGAAATTTGGTATAGAGATAGTTTACGTCCCGGCAAAGGACATAGGATAGTTTTTTATCCCAGAAATTCTGGTATAAAGGGGTAAAAAGGGGGATGGAAATTTACAAAGGGAATCAATAACCACTGAACCGATTCAAATGAAATTTGATATCCAGATTGTTTGATTCTTGAGAAAGTACAAAAGGTTGCTTTTTGTACTTACTTACTTATGTTTACGATAACCGACATACACTTGGGCGGAGCCGCGGGTAACAGCTAGTTAATTATAAAATAAAAAAAATTATTATTACTAACTTCATAAAAAACCTGTTATTAATAGAGGGAACACATAAGTAGAGGGATCATCTGATGGTAATGTAATATACGAGTATGTGAGCCACACACCCCAAAGCCTCTCAGAGTTTCAGAATGCATCAGAATGCTTCACTAGCTAGGACTGACCAACAGTGTTTTCAGCATGAAGGGTTTTTCCTTCAGTATAGAGAAAGAAATAAGGTTTATAGGTAATCAAAGAGTTTTTTAGGTGTTTACCACTAAAATTAATTTGTCAGATGTGGTCAACCCGTCTACTTGGTTTAATGTGTGGTTTAAAGTTAAGTTAAGCAAATATATTTCATATAAACCTTTATTAAACTTTAAGAATTTTTAAATATGCCTCATATTTATAAAACATTTTTAATTTCGTCTAAATTGGGATTTTAAAAATAATATACAACAAGGACATAATGTCACAAACAACGTGCGTACTGCCTCTTTGGTGTTGCGAATGCAGATTATTTTAAAATCATTTTTTAATTAATCTAAGCCGATAAACTTTTTAATAAAATACTATTGTTTGTTATTGGGTCTTTTTAGGTTCGAAATATAGATAATAATTACGAGTATTATCACCTGCAATCAGTAGTATTGAATCAATTCAATACTTAAAGTTGTTGTTAATAATGTTGTTATTAATCTGGGGAGTCGTTTCTGGTATATCCAACAGTTAAAAAATTAATATTGAAACCCATCCTATTACGACTTTCACTCTACCAGTGTGTTCCATATTTTGCTACTAAAGAAATTGTCTAGCGCCGAATTTCATTCGTTTTGAATGTCTTATTACCTATAACTTGAACTGTCATTGTATAGATTTATATGCCATGACAGGTCACTACTTTCTTGCCTTAAATACCGACCATAAAAAAATTAGGTCCCAAGACCCCGACCTCTGCGAAACTACCTACTCCTGTCTTAGTCCCATTTCTTAATTCCAGGGGAGTGTAAAGTACGGGCACGCCGTCATCGCGGCGGTAAGACCCGTTATGGAGGATTGGCTCGAGAGGTGTCACGGGACCCTCTCATACCGACTGACGGGAAAGGATGTTTCGGGGATCACCTGTGTCTGATCCGCAAGGAGCCAACGCCTGAGTGCCACCACTGCGATGGCCAGACCGTGGACACGGCTCTCCACACGCTGGCAGAGTGCCCGGCGTGGGTTGAGCAGAGGCGAGACCTCGTGGCGGCCATCGGAGTGGGAGTTCTCTCGCTCGATAGCCTGATTGCGGCTATCGTGCGGAGCGAGAGTGCGTGGAACTCTGCCGTCTCCTTCTGCGAGCAAGTTATGCTCGCGAAGGAGACGGCGGAGCGGGACCGGTCGCAGAACGACCTCCGTCCTCCATAAGCGCAGGCCTGGGGGTGACAGGTGAGGCCATCTGTCACCCTAGCAGAAGCAGGCCGGGGTGGCGGCGAGCGCGTTGCGAAGCGCGCTCGCTTCCAGGGAGCACAGGGAACATGGGGTTCCCACCCGGGGGGGGGGGGGGTCGTCTACTCGTCTGTAGATGACCCGAGGTATGTCGGGGTACCAGAGACTTCCTTTCTAGGGTATACCTGGTTCCCCGGCTATTAGTACCCGAGACGGCGTGCGGTTTTAGTCGGTTCGAGTTCGACATGCCACCGACAGGTGGTATCCTAGGGGATTTCCGCACGAAAAAAAAAAAAAAAGGGGGTAGTGTAAAGTATTATTAAGACCAATAAAATACCGATCCATTTTCGGTCACAATACGATACGAGTATAAGCACATTACAGTCATCGATAAATTTTTAATACCTTACTACTTAAATCGTGATCGAAAGGTTGGCGTCGGGCAGACGACGGGCCTATTATTGATTACGGCAAACCCAATCAAAATTCATAAAGGTGTGGACACAAGACAAAGGGAGGATCCTCCGACCAGGCGAGGTGACCATGTCTGGCAGGCCGCGGTTGGCCGCGGCCCAACGGTTTATGTTGGGAAGTTAGTAGTTATATATGCTAATCGGCGAGAGAGTTGTTAATATCGCGATACAGGATTAGCAGTTACTCCGTAGTCCGGTGTGGCTTCGATAGATGGCGCTGTAGTATGTTTCTTTGTTTCACCGTATGTGGAAGTCGCCACAGGTGTAAGAAGATGTTGACGTCGAAGAGTGTCATACTTTCATTTTACAAAACTCGTTAGGATAAAATCCAAATCATTGTTTCTATTATAGATCAGAGAGAATATGACAAACACATTAACTAAATTAAGTTTCGTGTTTTTGTTAGATTTTGTTTATAGTTATTTAGTAACACTATCACAGTGAATAAATAACTAAATTGTGCCGGTTAATAATCTGAAAAAAAAAATTCTGTGTAGTTCTTTTAGGTAAAGTGTTAGACAATTAACACGGAAGTTCTCTGCGCTTGAAGGAGCTAAGCGCAGACCGCTTCTTGAAGTCGGTTTCTTACCGACTGAAAACCACGTTGAATTTCGGATATCTACTTACGTAGAAAAGATGTAAAAAATAAAATTCAGTTCTCTAGTAGGTACCCATAGTACAAACTGTTCTTAGTTTGGGACTAGATGCCGTTGTGTGAATGTGGTACACTATTATGCAATTAAAGCAGAATGAACACTCTGTTTGGGCAAAAAAAATTAAGAAAATACGACATACATTTTAAAAATATTTTCAGTGTACAATAAACTTACTGAATATTAAAATTATTTTTAAGTAAAATATTATAATTGACTGTTAAATGTTATTTCAATTTCATTTAAATTTTCAATGAAATTGTTTATAATTTAGCAAATTATTAACTGATTAAAGTCTTCGAAATTCAAACTCATCAGGACTGTCAATTTATCGGAAGGGATTTAAAAAAGGATTATATTGCGCGCCATGTTTAAAAATATCGTTATAATTTATGTTATGATTAGGTGATTTTCCCAAGTCAGTCTTTGATTCTTGTGGTCTTTTCACTATAGTGTCCCGTAAAAAGGATGATATGAGAACAAATAATGCAATTATATACTTAAAATATTTGGATTTAATGCTTGAATAAAATGAGAACCAAATTTTGACTACATAATGCTTAGTGATGCTTACAGGTGTTATAAAAACGTGGATTCAAATTTTAGGTGCGTAAGAGCAAAAACTAGTTGATCAAAGAAAATGAAAAAGATTACAATACTGATATTTTCAGTCATGCAGTCTTTTCTTTTAAGTTATTTTAACATTGTCGGTCAATTTTCAGTTCTAAAATAAGTGTTTTAATATTATAACGCATTTTTCAAAAAATGTGTGTATCTACACCAATTACACAGGACCACACATTTTTGAAACACCTGTATAATTTATAAAATACCGTGATACATTTACACAATCAACAGTCACGTCTGTGTGGCATTTGTATCCAAGATTTAACCGTATTTTTATTAATAATGAGAGTGAAGTTGAGATTGGGGTAGCAGGAGTGCTGAAATGGAATCGTGCAAAACCGAATATAGTCTTATGATCTATTTGCTTCGATCGGTGATAGAGCTGCGAATCATACTTAAAGAACTCGACTTTGAATATTAATATAACTGACTAAAATTTTAATTAATCGATTTCCACGATTGCCATTTAATTTGTTTTTTTTGTAAGTGTTTGCTAACTGTAGCAGTCAGCCAAACAATAACTTAAGGCGGCGCTTAAAGCATAGAACACAAGTATTGACTTTAAATATTTCCGATAACGCATTTCCTGTACTATAAAAAATATCGCAGAATTTTCGTTATCGAGCTAATAAAAGTATCGCATTCATAAAAACATTATCAATGCAATTATTTCTAGTAATGCACATTTATATTATAACATATTTAAAGACTCATGAATGACGCTCGAATATTTCAGATAAAAGCTCAGCTTCTAAACACCGGGGAAAATCAATTGGCTTAACGTTATTAAAATAGTAGCTACCTAAATTAACCTTATGCACCCCTAAGCGAAGTCCTGCTAACATTATGCATATTTAAAATAAGTATTAAAAACTGTAAGTGAAGCCCCAAACGGATTACCGACGAGTCACACTAGCTGAGAAAGTGAGGGCAAACATTTTTTCGAGATAAAAGCGTATTTTATTGTAAAGTTTCTAACGAAATTGACTTTAGAAACTTTAATTTTCGCCGTTTTTTCTTACA